ATTTTTTATATAACTCCGACTGGATTCGTCTGAAAGAAGAAAGTCATATACACCTAGGATGACTTGAGGGTGAGTAAAACACAGCCTAATTTTCATTTTTGGGTGAACTAACCCTTTAAGCACACTTCTTTTTCACAGGGGAAAGCTTGTTTTGCATTGCATTCATCTGATAAATAATCTGGATACAAAAGCTATCTGATGTGGACAAATCTAAACAAGCTGTTTTCTGATTGGGAGATTACTCAATCTTCTTGATCAGATCACAGTGATCACATCTTAATGTAAACACATTTAAACAGGGCCTCAGTGTGCAAACAGGAGAGTTTTTAAGTGTGACTGAACCTGTGACATAAGTGAGCTGGAACAGCGGGTCAGACTGAGTCTGCTAGACCACTCTGTCAATGGGAGTCTGTCATACAAACGCCTGGAGCAAGAACATGATATCATGTTGTTGCAAACTTGTGCATATGTGTGTCTACAAAAAATGACATAATGTCGTGAAGTGTGTTTTTAGTACACCCACTTCCTCTCAGTTGAAATCACACTAACTCGCAATGACAGCAAAACAGCTCATTTCAAGAGGATTTGTGCTTTTTGTTCTTTTGTAATAAATTGTTGCTAATTTTTGTCCCCTAGCCATTACTTTCCTACATTTTCCTTGTACAAGCACATGAATCAGTTTGTTTTTATGGGAGCTTATCTTGCAGACAGTAAATCTTCTGAAAGAACATTTAATAGGTTTCCATTTTAGGTACATATAGTCGCATATTGTAAACATCACTGTCTGGATGACCTTTTATCCTGAGGATGTGCATAGATAGTAAATGACTCGTGTAAAGGTCTGACAGTCCTAGCAGAAACATCCATAACAAAGATGGCAAGCTACAAGCCACTCGTAATTTCAAGTAGTTAAACTACAGTCAAGCTGCTCGACGGTTGCAGATTCCACACGGGTCTGGTAATATATTCTCACTGCTTCAGATTTAAGGCTGTTCAGCACAGAGAGAAAGCGAGAGAAGGAAAGGCAGAGAAAGAATCTCCTCTGTTCCTCTGCTAAAGACAGCACATCCTGTTTGGACACTCCGCAGCACACTTGATTATGCATCAGAGAGGAATAACAGTCCACTGTCTCCACCGTCTGAGGGGGACGTCTGAACAACGCCAAAAAAGGTCATGCGAATCAGTCACTACAGCCGGGCAAAGTTCGGCAGAGAAAAAGAAGAGCTTTTCGTGTGCTCATAAAACTAATTACAGTAAATGAGATGTTAAATGATACGTTTCTTTAAGTACAGGAACTTTAATTACTTTTCACACTCTCATTAGTTTAATTGGTCCACTAACAATGTCCAACTGTGTATATACATACTTCACTGGAGAATTCAGTTTTGTCCTTTTTTTCCCACCTGACACCTGTCATGATCATTCCCTTGTGAAAGTGTGCTTAATTGTACTTAATGTGCACTTGTAATGTACTTCAAATCTTAAAGGTACATTTTTCAAATCTGTACTTGCAGATATTATTATTGAAATCAAAGGCCACTTAAGTGTACTTAAAGAGAGACACTTTCATGACTGATTCTTATCACACTTAAGTACACTTTTAAAAAGTGAACTTTGTTATAATGTCAAATGAAAAGTTTGACTTTGAATAATTACTTTAATAATTTTTTGTTGTGGTGTAAAGTACTCTTATTTTGATGTG